CTCCTCCTCCTCCTCCTCCTCCTCCTCCTCCTCCTCTTCTTCTTCTTCTTCTTCTTCTTCTTCTTCAGCGGGGGAGGGGGTTCAAAACAGGGTTTCTCTGTTGTAGCCCTGGTTGTCCTGGATTTCAGTCTATGGCCTCAGACTCACAGAGATCCCACCTGTCTCTGCTTCTCAAGTGTTGGGATTAAAGGTGTGTTCCACTACCACTCAGCTCATCATTTTCTTTAGAGAGACTGAAAAGCATTTGGATTCTACTAGCTCTTTGGGGCCCCAACTGCAGAGGGCCCAGCAGTATCTGTCAGTCCAGGAATATCTTCCCCCGACCCCTTTTTTCACAAAACCAAGTTGAAAACACTCAGACTGGCACCCACAATGCATCCTCGAGCGGATCTGTGCTCCCTCTCTCCAGTTCTCCTTGGTCTATAGCAAGAATGCTCCTTGTTCAAAACAGGCATACTCTGCATGAGTCCAGGTGTCCTGCTTCATGGGAAGACCTGGCTTGTCATTCTCTCCACCAATTCATGCCACGCAAACCTTTCTCTCCCCACCCAGAGCAACAGCAACTACTTCTGTGGCCATGAGCTTCTCACGGCATGTACAGAACTTATATCCATCGTCCACTCCAGTGAGTTTCTGACCGCTGGTGGCTGGGAAGGAGATAGATACCCAACTTCATTTTGTGTATGCATTTGTTCTTTATTTTTTGAGACAGGATTTCTTTACATACCTTTGGCTACCTGGCCCCATGTAGCCTAGGCTAACATTAAATTCTTTATGTAACTAAAGATGATATCAGACTTCTTCCTGCTTCTACATTAGGAGTGCTAGGATTACAGGTATATGTCACCAGGACCATTTCGTTAGGGATGGAGACGTGGCTCTTAGTGACAGAGCTCATATGGGTTCTAGGGATAGAACCTACGGTTTTGAGTATTTTAGGCAAGAGTTCTATACTAGGCTACAATCCTAGCCCCTTGTGTATGTGTGTGTGTGTACTTTAAAACAAAGAAACAAACAAACAAAACCTAAAACCTATCATTTATCCTTAACAGTGATTAACTTACAGATGTTATTTTCTTTATTTCCCCAGTCTATTCCATATAAGTATTACTTCTAGGTTCCCTTCTAAAGCAATTTTTTTCTAAGCCATCAGGTACTATGTGCTGCTAAAGAATGAAATCTGAAATTTGTGTAATTTTGCGGTACATCAAATTAAAACTTTCTATTATGATTAATTTTTTTTCCATTACTATCAATTTTTTAAAAAATAAAAACTCTGGGTCTGAGCTAGGCAGTGGTGGCACATGCCTTTAATCCCAGCACTCAGGAGGCAAACAGAGGCAGGCAGATCTCTGTGAGTTCAAGGCCAGCCTGGTTTACAGAGTGAGATCCAGGGCAGGCACCAAAACAACACAGAGAAACCCTGTCTGGAAAAACCAAAAAAAAAGAAAAAAAGAAAAAAGAAAAAAGAAAAAAAAAAAAAAGAAAACCAAACACCACCACCAAACCAACCAACCAAACAAACAAACAAAAAAATCCAGATGGTTCAGTGGTTAAGAGCACTGGTTGCTCTTCCAGAGGACCCGGGTTCAATTCCCAGCAACCACATAGCAGCTCACAACTGTTTGTGACTCTAGTTCCAGGGGATCTGACACCCTCACACAGATACACATGCGGGCAAAACACCAATGCACATAAAATAAAAATAAAAAATTAAAAAAAAATCTGGTAAAATGTGTTCAACAAATATGACAAATATTCAACTATTACACACACACACACACACAAATACAAGAAGAAGAGGAGACCTAAATATTTAGGAGACTGGGGTAATAGCTCAGTGGATAGTGTGCATCGCACAAGCATGAGGATGAACGTTAGTTAGGTCCTCAGCATCCATAACTGCCACCTGTAATCCCAGCACCTGGGAGACAGAGACAGGAGATTCCTAGCGCACACTGGCTAGCTAGACTAGCTGAATCAGTGGGCTCCAGGCTCAGCCAGAGACCCTGCCTCAATACATAAGGTAAAGAACAATCAATGAACCCACTTTGTCAACCTCTGGCCTTCACACACAGGCACATACATGTGTACCGCCACACATATGAACTCACATATAGGCACACATGCATATATGTGTACTTGCACATATATGTATACTCCCACATGTGTGAACCACACACCACCATACACATATTCATGCAAAAAAATGATTTTCATATATTTTAACCACAATTTTTACAAACTATTGCAGTAATACACACAGATAAAAGTACTAAGATGGCCACCACGCCATAATGTCTCAGAGGAAATTTGGAAACAACCTGATGCCGGGGGTGGAGCTGGGGATGGGGGTGGTGTATTTGTTTTAAAGGCGTTGCTTACACCTCACCTTGCACATCTCATTCTTCTTCCTTATTTCCTGTATTTACACAGTGGCATTTTTAACTCTTCAGGCTCACCAAGCTCTTGGGCGCCAGGGCTCCATTTACGTTTCCTCTGCCGAGAAAGGCCCCTTCTCCCATGGCCAGCATATTCTTTTTAGATGCCAGCTGCAACGTCAGTGTGGAGAAAGGCCTTCCTAACAACTCGTTCAGAGGTCTCTGTTAATTTGATGTAAAGTGATTACTGTCTTCTTCAATATCGAGTATTGTGCCTGAGAAAATGCAGCCCCTTAGGAGGGGCAGCCATGCCCAGAACACGATGGACCCATTAAAACAATGAATATAACTACATATCGATTTAAAAGTATATCTAGCTCATATCTTTTCACTGTGCGTTTTCTTAAACTGATAAGAGCAGTCACAACACAAATATCAACCCAAAGGCTTAAAGTCTATGCATTGTACATTTTAGAGTAACAAGGGCATTGTGGAATGTGTAGTACAACAGATTAATATTCCATGAACCAGTGGGCTCTGGGTTCATCCAGGGTCCCTGCCTCAATATAGAAGGTAAAGAACATCGAGAAATGCCTCATTTGTCAACCTCTGACCTCTATACATGCACACACATGTGCTCATGTACCTGTATCCACACCGTTAGAAAGGTGATTCGTTCGCTCTAACTCTAGGTGCCCTGCGAACACTGGAGGAGAACAAAGAGAAATAAAGGAATCAACACACGCCCCACAGGAGGATTAGGGTTAGTCCTACAATAGAGCTGTTAGGGAAGAAAAAAAAAAAAGGCTCACCTTCACAGAGTCAGTGTTCCTGAGAGTTGGAAAGAAGAGAACACAGGTACATTTGAGTCGTTACCATAAACAACAGTCAGCTGTGGTGGTACAGGCCTGTAATCCCAGCACTTGGGAGGTAGAGGCAGGAGGATCAAGAGTTCAGGACAAGTTTGAGACTGCTGGGGCTACACGAGACCCTGTATCAAGAAGGAAAAGAGATGAGCCCCGAGTGAAGGTGCTTGCCAGCAAGCCTGACAACCTGAGCGCAATCCCTGGACCCATGTGGTGGAAGGAGAGAACCAGGAAAACACACATTTCAAGCTGGGAAACCCGTCACAGGAGTAAGACAGGGCAGGGGCAGTTTGTGGTACCAGGTTAGATAGACTTGAGTAAGGAGGGAAATTAAGGCAAACTACATCATTTCCTTCCTTTGCTGGCTTATTAGAGGGGGCTACATGCCAGAGCCTCCGTGCAGAGGTCAGAGGACAGCGTGTGAGAGCTGGTTCTCTTCTTCCACCACATGGGTCCTAGAGCTCCAACTCAGGTTGTGGTGCCACTGAGCAGCAAGTGTCCTTACCCGTGGGGTCATCTTGCCAGCTCCCTGTTATTTTTACTTGGTGTTTGTTGTTTACGCAGGAGATTTATACGACATATAAACTAATTTGAAGACACCGAATAGGGCTGCAGCCTGTCTGCGTATGAAGACAACAGAGCTCGTGAATGGTACCCCTGGAGCTGAACAGGACTGAGTCCCTGGAGTTCAGCATGGCGGATGTGCAGGAAAGGAACTGTCAATCAGGAGGGCCGTGAGCGGTAGTGTTTCAAGAGCGGTTTGCCAAGTAGGTATGTATCCAAAGCCCTGCAGGCTCAGTGGCAGTTACTCCTGCCGAGGGGGGTGGGAGGGAGAAAACAGCTTTCTGGGCTGCAGGGCAGCCCGGGCAGGAGCTTGCTGGACTGACAGGACGCTGTGCTTTTTGATCCAGCATAAAAGGCTGAGAGATAAGAAGGGGAGATTTATTACAAATGGCTGGCCGAGCCAGGTATGGCAGGAGGAGCATTTGGACTTTGTCTGATCACTAAGATATCTAGCAGGTTAACCCGGCCAGAGTGTGTCCAGACTTGAATTTTAGAAAGATCACTAGTAAGACGCGGTGGCACAGGCCTTTAACCCAAGTACTCAGGAGGCTAAGGCAACAGATGTGTCCAGCAGGGACTAGAGTGAGGGCATCAAGATCCTGTCTCAAAATGGTAAAAACAGAAGAAAAATCACCGGCTGCTTGGGAGAAGCCAGCAAGGAGATGCTTATGAAAAGATGATGATGACCGACTTAAATATTTGACAGGAAATTCAGAATATCAGCTCTCAAAAGTACTTAAAAAGTCTATCTTCGTGACAGCCATGGTAGTGCATGCCTTAAGCACTCCAGAGGCAGAGGCAGAGGCAGAGGCAGGTGGATCTCAGGGAGTTGGAGGGTAGCCTCGTCTACATAGTGATTTCCAGGCCAGCTAAGACTACATAGTGAGATCCAGTCTCTAGAAATAAAATAAAATGTAGAATAAAAATATATCAGCTGGGCGGTGGTGGCACATGCCTTTGATCCTAGCACTCGGGAGGCAGAGGCAGGTGGATCTCTGTGAGTTCAAGGCCAGCCTGGTCTACAGAGTGAGTTCCAGGACATCCAGGGCTACATAGAGAAACCTAGTCTCAAAAAAATCAAAACAACTCGCTCGCTTCAGCAGCACATAAACTAAAATTGGAACGATACAGAGAAGATTAGCATGGCCCCTGCACAAGGAAGACAGGCAAATTCATGAAGTGTTCCATATGTTTTTTTAAAAAAAACCAAAAAACCAAAACAATAACAACAACAAAAAGTATATCTAATTGCAAATCTGCTTTCAAGTAAGTTGTCTTGAGAAGATCACATGATTCCCTTTCCTCATTATAGATGGAAAACAAAAAATGCAGGAGTAGCCATGACAGAGGAGAGAGAGAACCTGCCAATGGGGTATTTATTCACTAGACAGTTATCCATCAACCACTATCTACAAGAGTCTCGTGGCACTATTCACCATGGAATTAAAGAGCAAGATACAGAGAGACAGCAGGAGACAGAGATAGCACATTCTTAAGGCTTAGAGGTATTGCTAGGTTTCTAAAATGTGCTGTCTGCTCCTGGCAACACGCTGGCGGAGGGGCTGCTGGCCCTCCTGTAGGGACAGACCTGTGGAAAACATCTCAGCAGATCTGCTTGCTGGACTGTTCCATATCGCCTTTCTACTCTTGCTGACCTTTAGCTCCGCCAGGTTGGAGCCACAGATAACACCTTAAAAGAGATTTGGAATGCCTGTGTACTCAAAGGAGGGTGTCCGGGAGAGGGCGTAGACAAGAAGAGTGGGGGAACAATGAGACCAGATGAGACATAACCAGGAAAGGAAATGTGCTGGTAATATTCAAAGAGCAATAAGTCATTGTGGTTTAGCTACACAATAGTTCCCTCTAGCACACTGCAGAAATTGGCTTCCCATGCAACAGCTTCAAATGCCAGAAAGAATCCACTGTAAAAAGTGCAAGGTCTATTCCAAAGTGCATGACCATGGCCAGGTTGCCATTAAGGATTGTGTCTATAAAATGATGGAAGGCATCGCATTAATGGGGGAATTAAGTACTATATGCTAAAGTGTTTTGCAGAGTGTAAAGTATGAAGTTGTTATTGCTCTGAATCTCACAAAGTACAGAAGTCTGAAGTCATGAAATAACATATATCCTATGGGCAGATTTCCCACATGACGTTTCTCTTCAAAGCTAGCCTGGGCAATCCGTGGAGCACCTTTTGACTAGGAAGATGACAGGCTCTCTTGGAAGGGGACCCCTTTGACGCTCAGCCAGACGCTGGGCCATCCATCTCTACATTCTTTTGCAGATGTTTATGTCAACTTCAGTTATTGCTTTCTCGATGACTGCTCCCTTTGCTCCCTCAATAGCTGGCTCAGCAACACTGGAAATTTCAAAAGAAAGCTAAGCCAAGAAAGCAGCGCTGGGTGTGGTGATACATACCCAAGAATCAGTCCTAGTCTCCAGGAAGGTTGGGGCTGGAGAATCTCAAGTTTAAGGCTAACCTAGTCTACATCATGAGTTCAAGGTTAGTCAGGGAAACATAGGAATCCCTTACCTCAAAACAGGCAAGAGAAGCTAGCCTAAGTGTCTGTGGTAGCAGGCTTGGCTGGCATGCACAAAGCTAAGCTTAATCCCCAGTACAAAGCAGAGAAATGAGTTCAAAACAGCCATGAAATATCCTGGCCGCTCCTTGGTCAAGCTGTGGTGACCCCTAAACAGTCATCAATGCCCTGCTAGTCCACAAATGCTACTTTTTGTTGTTTGTTTGAGACAGGGTCTCTCTGTGTAACAGTCCTGGCTGTCCTGGAACTCACTCTGTAGACCAAGCTGGCCTCGAACTCACAGAGATCTGCCTGCTTCAGCTTCCTGAGTGCTGGGATCAAAGGTGTGTACCACCACCACCAAGCCATTACTTTCTTGGGAATGTGCCTGGCTTGCTCCCATCTCCTTTCTGTTTCCTTTCAACTTTCTGTTACTTTGGAAAAGAACAGGTTTGTCTCTAACCCACCGTAGCAGGGCATTATGACGATCAACACAGCACTGATGGACACTAGCAAAGTGGTGGCCTCTTGTTTTCATTCACTGCTACTCACTGACGTCCCTGTAACATCACCGTCTCCAGTGATCCTGTGAGACTTGCAAATTCTCACTTTTTACTCCAGATGTGGTGAGTCAACTCTCCTCTTGGGAGGCCTGAGAACCCTGCCATACGTCTTCCAAGTGTCTCCCAGGTGTGTTGAAGCTTTAGGAGCATGGCCGGGTGGTGGTGGCGCACACCTGTAATTCCAGCACTCGGGAGGCAGAGGCAGGTGGATCTCTGTGAGTTTGAGGCCAGCCTGAGCTACAGAGCAAGATCTAGGACAGGCTCCAAAGCTACACAGAAACCCTGTCTCGAAAAACCAAGACATTCTACAGCATATCTGTCTGTTTCAGACTCAAGAAGCAAGATGGTGTGAATTCAAGACCAGCTTGGTCTACAGAGTGAGATCCAGGACAGGCACCAAAACAACACAGAGAAACCCTGTCTTGGAAAAAAAAAAAAAGAAGCAGCAGCAGCAGCAAGATGGCTGGGGACTGGAGAGATGGTCAGCAGGTAAAGGTACCTGCTGTAGAATCATGGCGTCCTGGATTCCCAGAACCCACATAAAGTGAGGAGGAGAGAGAGAACAGACTTCATAAAGTTGTTGTCTTACCACCACACGTGCCCCCGGGGCCTGCACACTCAAATACATACATATATGTAATATAAACAAACAAACAAATAAATGAACACATGAAAGTAAGATGGTTAGCATAGAAACACCTATTAACAGTAATATTTGAAATAAAAAAGGAAGTCAGGCTTTTCCCAGACAGAAGTCTTTTTAGCTCATGGGCTTGCCCAGGAACCATTGTGTTCATCGCTCTGTAAACTGGAATGTACCATCTCTTCTCCCAGGGTTGTGACCTCCCCACCATCGTGAAAGCCTACAACGGCCTTTATGTATGACAGTTTAGCTGGGGAGTTAGTGCAGGCTGGAGTCTTACGTAGTTTCTTCAGCCCCAGCCAGAAGCTTCTTGGCACAGAGGTCCCCCTAGAAACCCTGCTCCCCAGAAAAGCACCTTTTCCTGCTTTGCACGAAGTCACTGCACCCTCTTCTGGCCTTATGAGCAACAAGCATGCACTTGGCACACAAGCATGCCTGTGGTCAAAACACAGGAATGAAAAGAAAACATGCCAACTTAAAAATTCGTGAGGGGGTTCTAGAAAACTAAGAAGAAGGCAAGCAGAAGTTTCGCCGTCTCAAAGATCCCCTGTTCCTACTTTTTCTTTCAGTGATGCTCTGTCTGCTTTCCATCCTATACTGCAGCTTGCAAGCCTCTGCTTTCCATTTGGGTCTTCCCTTTAGGCACCGAGGCTACCTTGCCTTCCTTTAAACACAGACAATGAAATAAAACAGTTTATCTTGGCATCTCCTGCGGTTTGGATAGGAAGTGTACCCCAAAGGCTCATGTGCTGAAGGGTTTGGATGAGAGCTAACAGGCCTCTGGGAAGAATCGTGGGGGATCTGACCTTCTCAGTGGACAGATGGATTCATAGTTTGGTAGTGACATGGATCCTGGGGGGTGGAGAGCAGAGTAGGCCCAGCTGCAGGCATTCCTTTGAAGGATAAATAATTCCCTGGACCTGTCTTCTCTCTCAGCCACCGTCCTCCATCCCATGCTTCTGGCATACCAGCATGCCTCATCACAGCTTGGCCCCAAAACAATGGAACCAATCCAACGGACCGCAATCGGGAGCCGTGAGAGAATAAATCCTTCCTCACTTGAGTTGTTTTCTCGATATTTTGTCACGACTAAAGGGTGACTAATCCAGCATGTGTGGTGTGATTTTAGCTTCAAGCCCTGGCTCATCTCTGATGGACATAATCTGTGGAACAGTCTCGGGAGGGTTGAACCGCCCATTGAGTCATCTGTGGGCCCTCATCTCGAGCCATCCAAACTGAGGAACCATTACAGTGTTTTCCCGAGTGGTTCTGTGGTCAGCACCTGGATTCAGGGGGCCTGTGCTCTGAGAGCCTTCTCCTTCAGGTCTCTGATCAGGTCTGTGTCAAAGCCAGTTAGGCCAACCCTAATTCTCAGTGACCCACCAGCTCTGGTTTCACAGGTAAAGTTTGTCCGTGTCAGAACCTGATAGACCTTTCTAATTCTAAAGCCCATACCTCCCCCTCACCCAGCCCCCTCCATCCCCAGGCAGCTGCCTTTCCTTTCACTCTCTCCCTCAGCCATTCCCTAAACATTCTCAAGTGGGTTCTCTTCTCCCTAGGGCTTTGTCTTCTAGGCCTAGTTAAAAACAGTTCACAAGGCACTGGTCTCACCTCACTTAGGTGAATTCTGGGTCTTGAAAGCAGTCAGTACTGGGAGCTGCAGAGATCTACACTGCCACCTAGTGGCCGGCTGTTAAATAGGTCTTGTGATACCTAGGATGCTACTGGCTGGTATCCTAGCAACAGGCCCTGGAGGCGGATGGTCGTGGGCAGACTGGGAGAGCTCCTTCAAACCCAGCATTTTCCCTGCCTGGGATTATCTTATCCTTACACGTTTTTTTTTTCCCCCGTCAGAATTCTGATTCTTTCCTTTCCCGGGGACTGAACCCACGGCCTCATCCACGCTAAGCAAGGTCACACTCGTCATCCTGGAGCAGGCCCGGCCCTTTCACTCTTTCCTCTCTGCTAAGTCTCCAAGATCTCTTCTTCGGTTTTGATCTCAGCTGATAACCCAACTTATTAGTTCACTGAGAAAACAGAAGCAAAATGAGAGAAACCCTCCATCTTCACTAAAACATCTTTTGGTTCTAATTCGACACACTCTCTCAGCTTCCTGTCAAACAGATAAACTGTCACCTGTTCCAACTGAGTCACACCTTCCCTAGATAGCTGAGCCCCTCTTCCTCTTATCTGCCCAACAATTCTGTCTGGAAAATAACTTCTTTCTGGAATCAAAGCTTCTTTTTCTAATGAATCCATATATATATAAAATCTTTTTGATTTTTGAGACAGGGTTTCTCTGTGTAGCTTTAGAGCCTGTGCTGGAACTCACTTTGTAGATCAGGCTGGCCTCAGAGATCCGCCTGCTTCTGCATCCCGAGTGCTTAGGCTAAAGGCATGCACCACTATCATTTGTGGGGCTGGCAGGTGAGAGAGATTTGTCCTGACTGTGGGCCAGGCAGGAAA